ATCTTTTTGGGTTTGCAGGTGTCTTTTTCCAGATTCTGCCTTTTTCAAGTGTACCTCAGCTCCATGCAGAGAGGTCTACCTGTGCTTCCCTGGCAGCCCCTTCTCAGCACAGCTTCCTAGCAGGCTGATTAGGCATAGTGAATTTTTTTTCCTTTTTTGTTATGTAAATGTTTGCACCTGACAGCTCTATACTACTGGGATTTGTAGGTGTCCTGTGCCCAGTCTGTGTGTCTGTGTCTGAAAATGTTCTCCTCCAGACCTCGGCCACCCTTGGAAGAGAAAGTCTTGGTGAGGAAGAACCTTCTGTGCAGCAGCCATGCATGTAGTGGCTAGAGTAGAAAACGAGGAATTGATTCTTTGTAGAAGGATGGAGCTCAGAACTTGGGTCTTACATTACTCATCTATCTCTGCCACCATATCTTTGGGGTAGCAGACTGAAGTGGTCTACAATGAAAAGATTTTCTTACAAAAGATCAAGAAATGTGCATCAACATAAAACTTGTTATATTCCCCACCCTGCTGGAAATTGCCAGGTTTTTGTGAAGTAAAGCTGTACGCATTTTGGTTTGAATTTCCATTGGGTACACCTCTCATTTACATCACATTGTCCTGTTTGTCTGCTGAAGTTTGATGCATTTAGGCCATCCAGGCCAAACTATCATGGTTTTGGTCTGCTGTTGTCTGTAGTCAGGTAGGGTTGGTTTTGGTTTGATCTACTTGGTTAGAGATTCTTACAGCTGTGAATGTTAATAATTGTGTATGGCCACTTCTATCCATCCACCGTGCACCAGCAGTCCTCTCCTAGCAAATGCACTGCATGTTTGTCTAAAAGGAAGCAGTTTCATTTTTGCAGGTCCTTAACTCTCACAAGTGGTGCTAAGACAATCATTCTTGTCTTCCCTTAAAGTAAATCTTTAAACAAACCAAAACTGGACCTAAGCAAGTCCCAGTTCTCTGAACAGGCAGTTTCTTCTCAGGTATATTCTGAAGAAACCTGGTACTAATGTTACTAGAGTGACACTTAGCACAGTATTTGCAGAGCAATAATGTTAAAGGTACTTGGATTAAATGTATTCTCACACGTTGAACCAAAGATGCAGAAATCGTATCATATAAAGGACTAATAAGGAGAAACAGATCTTCACACCTTAGTTTCTGTATCAGACATGAGAAAGTTCTCTCCTGCTGTTTTTAAGCACCAACTCCTTAAGCATTTACATTTTAAATTTTGCTACAAAAGACCTAGTAGACATTACACTTCTGTCCATGTAGATAATCATTGCCTCAGAGTGTAGACAGAAGAATTGTGAAAATAACAAGATTTTCTTCGGTGGTTTTTTTTTTTTTTTTCTTGGCTGGAAAATAGTAAATGAATACTAGATGAGTGTTTGTAATATCCTGTACTTAAGTTTTAAGCATCAGCTATTGTTCAGGGATAGACATCTCTGTAACGTAGCAGGCAAAGAGCTTAATGAAATCCAATATTTGGAAACAGGAGGTAGATGAATTCAGACTTGGAACAGCAGTGCTAAATTTTAACAGGAAGGATAACTAACATTTGGAGTAACTTCTGTGGGTGTATGTCTTCATTTATCACTTGAAGAGCTGAATGTGTACCCTTATGTTTTCTAAAGGATATACACTGTTTTAGGCAAGTTATGGAAATGACTGGTTGAATTTCACAGTTTGTGAAAGGTGGGAAATAGGCCCAATGTCCCAGGTCTGGGATCCTGTAAGGTAGGAAGGATGTGTTGCTTTGTTTCTCTTAGCTACGAGGTGTATTTCCACTGTTCATTAAGAATAAACACTCCTCAAATGGCTTGCAGAAATAAGTTTGATCTTTTGGGCAGAGGGAGGAGAAATTATTTGCTTTGCAAGCTCTTGGTAAGTTAGGGATCTGAACCCAAGTTGTCCTTTTATTGTTATTCTAATACAGTTAAGAATACTTTGCATCTTTAAAGTTCGGTGAGACCCCATATAAGAGAAGCCCAGCCTTTGACTGCTTTGCTGGACTCACAGAATTTTGGGTTTTTTTCCTGTCTCATACTGGGAATAACTGTTGTTAGACCAGAGACAGGTAGAAAAATTGCAGCTCTGTGTTTACTTCTTATGGATTTAGGTACCAGGTTGTTCCCCGCAAGTACCAGATCAAGTACCAGATTGATCTCCCACTGATCCCAAGAATAAGAGTCAAATGCCTACACTGTGCCAAAGGCCACCAGGCCACGAAGAAAGGTTTAAAAAGGGGCTGTCTTTGGGGATGGGGTGGGAAGGCTCTCTTCAAGTCACGGATTGGGCTGTGATCTGGTGCCACCTGCAACGCGATGGCTGATCCTGCAGGAATGGGATCCGTGATCCTCAGGGACCCGTGGCAGGAAACCCACCCAGCCTGACCTTTCACTGCTCTCAGTTGTGGTGGCTGGCTGCTGCTGGCTGGTGCTCCTGGGGCTGGAGCGTGCTTTCTCTCTGTGAGTTGTGCTTGAGTTTGCCTGTTTTGTTGCCCTGGAGACAGAAGAGTGTGGTATGCCTTCCCCCGACCAGAAATAGTTTCCTGTACCTTGTGACCGGAGTGCTGTACTCATCCTCTGGTCTCTAGCCAGGCTGTGTGGTGCTGGAGGGATGGGGTGTGGGGTGATGACCTCTTGTCACAAGTTCTGGTGTGGCTACTGCCCATGATCACTAGCTGCCCTGCCGGCTACCCTCCCTCTGCATGATGGTGTAGGATTTCAGGGGAGCAATTGCTCTTGATTTACATCTCCCATGGCATTTTGATGGTTATGTCATTTTGTTTGAGCCTTGCTCCCGTCAGCTGTCTGTCCTGGCTGTCAGGACTTGGTGGCTGAGTAGCACGTGGTGAGCTCTTACCTCTCCTTCCCCCTTTGCTCAGCTGTTTTTGCTGTCTGCTTCCCTGTGTCCTTGTACTTGGGAACAGATTCTCAGCAAGTGTAACTGCGCACGAGGGCAACATGATCTGGGTGGGTGAAGGATCCCCTTCTGTAGGAGTTCCAAGTAGAGCTGCGAGGGTAAGTAGGGAATTTGCAAGACCCAGGCGAGCAAGCGGGCTATGGATACTTTATCTTAGACTCTTGTCCTGCTGTGAGAATCTGGCGTGAGCGCAGAGTATGCAGCGCAGTCAGTTACCTTGCAACTGTGTTTTGCAAAGCTTCATTTGTGAGAGATGCTGCTAAATGGGGAGCTGAGGCACCCTCACCCCTCCCCAGCAATGCAGGTGAGAAAGCGTTTGCACTGCACCAAGGCCTCAGGAACATGGAAGCTCTCCAGGCTTTCTTGCTGCCTGCTACTTTGTTGGAGAGTGGTTCTGGCACAGAGCTCTAAAATATATGCAACAACAACAATAATTTCCACAACTGAGAACGAAGGAGAGATGAAAGGAGTAATTTACCTTCCCCCATCCCTGAACAGTAGCAGATGAGGATGTAAGCACATCTCAGCCCTATAAAATATTAATTGGGACATTTTCTACAGTTCAGCAGTGGGAAAGAAGACAGAAATCCTGCAGTGCCCTGAGCTGCTGTTCCCAGCCTGGGAGAGAAAAGAGTTCTGAGCTGAGCTTTGGCTTGTTCTCTGTCTTCTGCTAATGGAGAACAGAAAAGTTGCCTGAAGCCTTCCTTTACAGAGGGAAGGGAAGACCATGCAGAGACCATTGAGCTGCACAGGCTGTTCTCAGGCAGAACAGTGCAGTGTGGATTTGTTGAAGTGAGTCTCTAGTGGGTTTCCTATAAATCAGAGGATGCTGCATTTCTACCAGTGATCTGCTGAGTAGCCCAGCTAGCCAAGGGTCCTGCTTACTCATGTGGAGAAGACTTGTAGGTCACAGGGGATGCAGAGAAGGTGTGTTTTCAAGCCTGTGTTCTGAAGGTCTACAACAGAAGAAATGTCAAGGGCAGGCAGGGACTGCTGCTTCCTCTTCCTATGTTCTTTTGATGGCTGGACTGGGGAGGAAGGGCAGTCCTTGCTTCTTGCCTCTTTCTAGGCATCTGTACTCCCAGAAGTCTGGAGTTCAGCAGCTGCCAGGGCTGCCTGAAAGATTTACCTCCCTCAGAATCCTATCAATGAATCTGTGCTTGTCCAATGTGAGCATTACATTTGAGAAGACAGGGGCTTTATTGTGAAAGTTCAGGACTCAATCATTGCTGTAGTGAAAAAATCTCTTGTCTGAGCCTCAGTGGCTAAAAGGCTGCCTGCTTCTTGGCTGAGATGGGCAGGGCTGCTCTAGCTCCCTCTCCTTTCCTTACACTCATGCATGTTAAATTTCTAGGGAGGAGAAACAATTTTTTACTCTCCTTGATATTTTTTTCTTTAATCCAGATGACAGTCATGCTCAAACTGGTGTTGCCTTTGGGCCAGAATAAGCATAAGCATTTGGGCAGAACTTCTTGCCTGGAGATCTCAAAGTGCTCGATCAGCATTTCACCAGTGTGTTCGTCCATGGGTACTGAAGTATGGTTACCTTGACAGTTTGCTGGAGCTGGCAGAGTTCCCTACTTCATCTGATGGCTGCGCACTAGCAGGAGCTATGTATTTCTCCCTCCTACTCTGCCCTTCTTCCCCAGAGTTTCTCTGGAGTGAAAGCAGGTCCTTTTTCCCATTTCATGTGGGCTGTTTCTTCAGAGACTTTTTCTCCTCCAGCCTTGGAGAAAGGGGTTAAGTCTTGGAAGGGGTGTCATTGGAAGTGGCTTTGCATATTTCTGAGGCTGACAGAAGAGTGGCGTCTTTGACTCTGCAGTTACTCACTTTGAATCCAAGAAGGGAGTATCAGTTTAATGCTTGCTCTGTAGTGGGAGCAGAGGTCCTCCTGCAGCCTTGACTGCCTAGATCTCGCCTGAAATGGCTGTGAGGTTTTGGGAGACAGTCATGTTCCAGAAATTCCCAGCCCTCTGGAAGACTTCTGGGTCACTGTATTCCTTTCTCCATTGAATATGAACAAAAGCTTAGTTCAGAGTTGTGGTGCTTAATGCCTTTTTTCTTTTTTTTTTTAGATCACCAGAAACTGGAACGTGAAGCTCGAATCTGCCGACTTCTAAAGCACCCAAATATTGGTAAACCTCCTTGGGCTCAGTGGGATGGGGGTGAGAGAAGAGTAATGTGTCTCATCTAGCGCGCTGTAGGAGGGCAGATGTATTCTGAATGTTAACAACAACTCATCAAACTTGCCTGTTGAAATCACCTCAGATTCTCTCTTTGACAAATTTTGCATATGACCCTGTCCCATTCCTTAGCATCCTGGCCCAGATATTCACCAAAGTGTGTTGTGTTCCTGTCTGCTTGCCCATGCAGAGCTGTCCATGCCCCTTGGGTGATGCATGACTCTTGTTTGCTCATCTGACATTCTGCAATGGGAGTGAGCTGTTGTGTTTGTTTTTCCCACACCTGTCAAAAGTTGGCACTTTTTGATGTATCTGTTTAAATGTTGTATTCAGTGACGTGCCTAAAGTTAAAGGAGGGTGGGTGGGCTAATATGTCAACTGTTCCCATTGCAGTGGCCACTTACTCTGAAAACAAGAGACCAAAACCAAATTGCTCATTTTGGCAGTGGTCCAAAAAACCCCCAGTAATGGAGTAAAGGGAAGTTTTCTCTAGAAATACAGGAAGAGGTAAAATAAGGAATAACCTCAAACCAAAACTACTTTATTTACTGAACTGTAGAGGGAGGGCATGGATTTTTACCTAGTTCCAAAGTATCATTGCAGTTTATTCTCAGTTTTCTTTTAGAGAAACTCCACACTGCTGGAATTTGCTTTGAGCAAAAAAAGTTGGACCATTAATAATCCCCTTTTTAAGATCATTATATAAATGAAGCCTCTAGGATCCTAGCTAAGGTCTAATTTGAGTTCATTTATTTAAAAAAACATTAAGAAATATCAAACTGCTGCCTTCAACCAAACCACTGTTAAATATCCCTGTCTGGGAAACCTGTGATGCATTGCGTTGTCTTTATTTTGCATAACCCTATTTGTCAGTGTAGATAATGTTTAAAGGTCATCTTCCTGGTCTCCCGACTTTCAGCTTCATAACCATTTGCTCCTGTCCTCTGAAGACCTGGGAGAGGAAAGGTGCCTTACAGCATACCCTGTGGACTAGCATCTGTAGCCTATTCCGTATGTGATGAAGCAGCAATTTCCACAAGCTCAGGACCTCATAAAATGCAAAGCATCTTAGTAGCAGCTTTTCAGCAGAAAGAGCTTTGTTGTGTCCGAGTGTTGTTGTGGAGGTGCACGGCATGAGGAGATGAGCAGTGTCCACTTTCTACAGTAATTGGCACTGAATATATTGGTCAGTAAGTTTATTGCTTGTCAATATTCAGAATGACTAAAACTTGTATTAGTTATTGAGTTTCATTTGCCCCATAAGACTTGTTGCACTTAGTTTAGTAATGCCGCTTTATATTTTGGCCTTCACTGTCATAATCTCTTTTTTTGTAATTTCTTGCATCTTTTCTTGCCTGTCTTCTCACAGAGTAAATCTTATATACAAGAGGAAAACCACTTTTAGAAGTAAACCGCACCAAAACCAGAAACATACTGTATTTCTGGTTCAAGTCTACAGGCTGTTCCTCATCTGTAGGAGTGGCAGTGCATCTCCTGTTGTATTGTTGTTTGGAAAAGACAGTTTGGGGCTATGTCAGTGGTTCCTGCATTTTCTACAAAGCATTTCTTGTCTTCCTAGAAAGAACAGTTTTTCTTTTAAGATAAAGAGACTAGTCATTCTAAACTCAATGGGTGGTCACAAGTAGCAATAAGGGAATTAAGTTTTATGCCTACAACACAGAATCAAAGTGTGTTGAATAAGACCTCAGGAAGACATATGGTCCCTTCAGCAGTCCTGTAAAAACATTTTATACCTGGCTGGTTCCAGGCATGTTTGTTCTTAAAAACCTTTAACGCTTCCACAGCCCCTAGTGGCAATCTTTCAAATATTTAATTTTTCTGTCAGCTAGATATTAGAAAAAAATACTTTTCTGCTATCTTCGCTTGTTGTTTCTAGTTCTATCTGGAGTATACGTGGAAAGTAGTTTTTCTTTCTTGTAACAATCTTTTACATATTTGAAGACTGTTATCATGTCTCTTTTTAGTCTTCTTTTTCTTCAGACTAAACAAACCCAGTTCTTTCAGTCTTTTCTCATATGTCATGTTTTCATGTTTTCTAGGCCTCTAGTTCGGTTTTTTTTTTTTGTTTGTTTGTTTTTCTTTTTTTTTTTTTTTTTTCCCCCTGTACTCTTGCCAGTTGCTTCATATCTTTATAGAAATATGATGCCAGAAACTGGACATAAGATTCAAACTAATGCCATGTCAATGCTAACAAAGATACTAATTTTGTACATCAACCTCTGAACCTTGCCATTTAAATATATTGTTGATGCACATTTATTTTCTGATGCGTTATTGCTCCACACTGCTTTCAGCAGAACTTCCAGCAAGCAAATAATTTTTCCATCTTGCATAAGTGAGGATTCCTGTTGAAGTGTACATTACATTTGTCTGTATTAAAACACATAGGAAGAAATGCGCTCTCTGGGTTGCCCCCCAATTTGTCAAGACCATTTTGATTTATCTTCTCATAGTGTAATAGGGTTGCAACTCCTCCCACAGTAACATGATCTTTGACAACAATGCCATGGATTGCATCACGTAGATGATTAATAACACTGTTAAATTCTGTTGGACTCTGGACAAACTCTTGAAGATATCACTTGTCACATTGTTCCAGTTTGACAGTTATCAATTTTGAGTATCTTTTTTCAATGAGTTGTATATACCATTGTAAGCTAGTTCTGAATACACATTTTTTTTTCTAAATTGTTTATGGAAATAGCACGTAAGATCCTGTCAGAAGCTTTGCTGAAGGACAGATGCTACATGCATATTTGCTGCCTCCCTATTTCTTGGACTTGTTATGCTGTGATAGAAGTGTAACATGTTGTTCTGACATAGCAATAGGTGTTTCCTTGAAATGTGTATTAGCAGTTAGTAATCACCTAGTTACTGCCATTCCATATTGTAAACTCTTCTGGATGAATACTTGGTGTATTGCTTCAGTGTGAGATATGCTATTAACACTGCACCAATCCTGAAGAATTCGGCAGATTTTGCACTTACATTAATTTCCCCATTAATTTTTGTTGTCACTGTTTTCATTGCAAGCTGCATTGCAGCATGTCCTATTCTTCTGCAGTGACCTGAGCCTCTGGTGAGTCTGGGGCAGAGGACTGGAAGTTCAGACTCTATGAGGTGGCCTGCTTTTCTCTCCTGCTTGTACACAGGATATAAAGCAAAAACATACTGTTGAATTTGTTGTTCTTATCCATTTGCTGGCAGACAGCTGATTTTGCTATGGAGATTCTAGACTGCAACCCACTGACCATAACACTGTTACTCCAATAAAATAAAAATTACTCCAGGTACAAAATAATGGTGATATTTCCATTTGCCATTGCGCTTTGTGAAATGATCACTTTGAGTTATCCTAACATGCCTTCATCAAATCTCAGCCCTACCTATAGGGTATTGCTCTGTAATTGGGTGTTTTGCTTGTCTCTAGATGCACATTATGGCCACTGTAATCACAGTGGAGTAATCCTTCTAAGAGCTTAGTGTTGCAGTAAGGTTTTTTGTCTGGACAGAAGAAAGTTGACTTGAGGCGATTTTCTGATTTCTGACTCATGGTATGTGCCATGTTCTCATTACAAGCCATCTATTTGAATATAGCTGGTCACCTCAGACTTTAGTTCAGTAGAGGAAGGACTTTTTTCCTTAGCTTTCAACTTGTTTTTTCTCCTCCTGACTACCTCCTGGAGTGTTTTGCATTCTGGTCGAGAGAAACCATTTGCCAGCCATGCTCACCAAATGCAGCAAAATTGGATGGAGATCAATCAGTGATCTGTTCACCCTGTTTTAAAGGCAGAAAAGATGCACCCATTACTGAGGATATGGAAGTGTTAAAGAGAGGCAGAAGGCAACATCATTAAAACCTCACTGTCTATAAGCAGATAAAATGCCTGTGGAAGTTGGCAAGAGTCATGGCTCTGTGGGGAATTCCATTTCTTGAACAACTTACTGTTCCAGTGATTCACTTACCTATAAATCCTGTGGGCATTTGACATGCATGCATTTGGGAACACACAGAATGGAATGATATCATTCTCTTCTCCCTTGGTCCCTGCTTTACAGGAAAGAAGAAGGTTTCTATAAGCACACTCATAGACCTGATACTTCATTTGCAGATGCTTTCCTGATTGTGCCACTGAAGCTTGTTCAATGGCTAAAATAAAATGAACTTCACCATTGCTTTCTGTTTGTTGTAGAGCTAAATTTAAAACGTACTGAATATCAACTCTTGCTTCCTGAAATGGCTCTTTTGGTCTTCTGCTTAGTTGTAAACTTAATTTCAGTCAGTCTGTATATTTGATTTTAAGTCCTGTAATTCATTCACTACATAAGGATGCTCCTGTGGAGAAAGCAGTTTTTCCCATGCTTCCTGCTATTCATCAAATACTAGAGCAGTGACAGAGCTGGGAGCCCCAAGTACCTTCCTACAGGCTTGTTCAGTGCAGATGTGAAGTTCAGCACAGTGCTGAACATGACCCTTCTCGTCCTAGGACTCCCAGAGCAATAATGATGCGAATTTGATAAAAATCCTCATTCACAGTTTTGAAAGTTCTTCTCTGGCATTCTTGTATTCTCTTACAAGAGTAGGATTATGGCTTGTTCAGTGCACCATGAAGTCTGCTCTGTGTATGGATTTTGTCCACCATGGTGTTAGGTGTTGCCCTTCTAAATTTTTTTTGGTATATCAGTCTAAATATGTGCCTTCTCTTTGGATCTGTCACCAGATAATCTGTACTCTTTCTTAGATATTTTTAACCCAACTGTAGAAAAGTAGTTCTTTAATATCTTTTGTTTGTAGTTCAAACTGAGCACTGCTGGTTGGTTATTGTGTCCCAGCTCATGGCATCCTTTGCTGTGAAGAACTTCAGGCACTTAGGTCTAGAATAATAAAAATACATATTTTAAGAGAGGCTGGTAGGAGCCCAAGAGCCAGA